AATAACCATGAAACTAGATCAACACTGAGTGTTCAGTGTCTGAGATTCTCTTTTAATGTTATTTATGAAGTCACTACAATCATTTTATCATCTTCTGGACCAAGGTGAACAATTCAACTAGAACAGAAATGCAGCAGAGAAATGGCCGTATACAAAAACAAAAAGATGAAAATGGCATAAATAGAATATGGCAATAAAATACATTTTTTACGTAAAAAGTTCATTTTTAAAAAAATTTACAGAATTTTACCATTTTTACTTCTGTCCTACATGTACTAGTACCAGGGACTGAACTGTTATTTATATTTTTGTCTTCAAATTAACTAATTCTCACTGAACCATTGACCTGTCTTTGGTTACTACTGACTGGGTCAAACATTACTTCTGATGCTTTCAAACTCCGTTATCATATTAATTGGTCCTCTTAAGCTACAGTATGTTGACTCTGCCTCCTGGAATGGCCCAAATCTGATTTTGATTCCATCTAAGTAACTGAGATCTGATTTTCTTATGGATGTGACAAACCAAGCTGGTCAGTGAAGACATGATGACTTTTCAAATTTGTTGTACATTTAAGGAGAGCCTATGGTAACCAAGCAGTTGTAGAGGAAGTTGTACGACTGGACACAAATGACCTTAATGACATTAGTCTTGTATGCATGTGGCTCATTTTGCACATGTGTAGCAGTTTAGGACCAACACTATAACTGGATAGGTCACATTTATGAACCATCAACACACACACACACACACACACACACACACTTAATAAACTGCAAGCGAGCAGTAAAGCCTGTAATGTGAATGTAACTTTAGAGCACACAGGAAGTGACCTTCACTGATAACTGTATACTAGAAGCACGCATGCTTGAGAAACCACTTTCTTTAATGGAAACAAACAATCTCCCTCCTCTCTACTGAGGACCTAAGTCTTTCAATTTGTTACCAGTCTAATGACTCGAGTTAGAGAATTTTCAATAACTATGATGAGAAGATTATGACAGACTTTGCCGTTATATGACTTGTAAATAAAATGCTTCAGACAGGAAATGAATTCAGTGCATATTTGCACTCATTACAGTGAAGGTAAATCGTTAAGTGTGGCGTGGCTGCCTGTTCTCACACAAACACTATCCTCACACTCACATTAGATCCCCCAGTCGCCCATTACCCATGTGCCTGCTCCCACTAGGCCCTGAATTGCTCTAGGATAGACAAACACATAACACACTCCGTCTCTCATCTGTGCAGATCTAACACTGTAAATATAGAGCAAACTGAGGTGAAGAATACAAAGGAGATGGGAAAAGAAGCAGTAGGAGACAAAGGTCAAGATGTTAATGAGATTTATGTCAGAACAACAGTTCACATGTGATGAAGCGCAGCAGCTACAGTGGCTTCAGAACGACAAAGTGGAAACGTTTTTATAGCGGAGATCTCTAATGTACACAAATATTCCACTACCCCTCTTGAAAAGCCAAACCGATGTTAACACCGGTTTCTGCTCTTTGTCAAATTCTCTCTGTGTAAAAGAAGGTGACCTCTTTGGTTTGGAGTTTTAGCAGATGAGCTCCTCCATGGCTGCCGACTATACTGTTTGAAGAACACTTCTTATAGCCTTTTCTAGGTGGCCTTGGGGGGCCCGACTTTAAAAATACAGGGTAGAGAAGCTGGAATAAGACTATGGAGGAGGACAATGTTAAAGCATCTTTAAGTTTGTTGTTATGTAAAGCTGTTCATTAGATAAGAGATTAAAAACATGTTTTGCTTATAACATACTGGTAAAGGTGTGACCACCTAATGTTGCCTGGTCAACTCAAGTGACACAAAAAGTGCATTTCCTGAAATTGTGGAATATGGTGGTGTTGCTGCTGGCTATGTTTGACTCACTCTTGAGTGTTGTTAGTTTCAAATATGCATCCAGTAAAGTGCTGAGTGCTGAGTGCTATTTTTGCATCTAGTGCCAAAGCATTCACTCATTTTTAGTCCACTTTATTGTTATATGAAACAACTGGCAGTTAAACTAACTGGTCCTCTCTCTGAGAAGAGCATCCAAAGCGCTTGCCTTCATTCAAGATTTACTCTTCATCACTATGCCCTTAAAATAAGAAACCACCACATCAATTTCTAAAAGCACTAAATTGATCTTTGAATTCAGAATTATAAAAGATAATAACTGAAAGTCTTACATAAACCCACTTTCTCCTGTACCACCAAATAATAAGCCAATACATCTACATGAAAATCTCTGAACAGCAAAAACTGTTAATGCCAAAGGCAACTAGGCGTTTACAGTACAGCTAAAGCTATTAGAAGCTTTCTCTTCAAAATATGCCAATTTAAGAATTCATTATGTAAACAGATGAATGCAGTCTCTCTTCAATGGTGCACTGTGTCATAAAGTATCAATTAATCATAACCCCATTAAGAGACATTAGTATAATCACTTACTAGTTATGTTTTTAGGTCTGAACAGTATTTTACAGTGGATGCTGCCAGGTCAAGCTTTGCAGGAATTCTGTTAGGTTACTATATGGCTTCAAGGGAGACTGCATTACATTTCAAAAGAGGAAAATGAATTTAAACTTTCCAAGTCATGAGCACCTTTATTCTCCTTCCAGAATTCTAACAAGTCAGCTTCATTTTTTTCTAGCCTGACTGATCAGCAGCACAACTGTTGTCATAACTTGCTGCAATTAATTCTTATATTTTCTTTGTCCTCTTCAGAAACATATGCACTGTGCTTCACAAAGAGATGATAAATAGCACTTCAGTGGTTCTGTATTGTTTGGAATACTTTTCTCTCTCTTGTCTCCGCAGGAATAAAAAAAACAATGGTGCTAAACTAACTTCATTTGTAACCTCAAGAAAAAAAAAAAATTGATAAATGGATAAAAGCTCGAGTGCTCTGAGGTCCTTTTGCCCCGACTGCCCTCTAATTCCCACAGCGAACCATGATTCAATTAAAACTCACACAAGCAAATGAGTTTACACTAATGATTGTGTGCCAATTTTGACAGCTGTGTTTGTGTGAAAACTTGGGACTGAGACCTTAACCAGGCTGGCTACCCATCCCGGCTGTGGGCCTGGCTCAAGCTGATGCCACACGCATACAGTATACACAAAAATAAACACAAACACTAAAAACTGTTTAAACACTACAGGATCTGGCAGAAAAAGGACACATTTTTCAGGTGACCTCCAATTTTCAGCCACATACTAAAACTGTGAAAACCTGAAATTATTCATTTTTCTCTGATTTAAAACACCATCACTCCATTCTAACAAAAAGAGAAGCACTACAACCACCAACCACCACCACCTCATAGACCTGGAACCTGAAAATGACAGCAGTTTGTTGGAAGGTCACAACCAGTGTACTGGATATCCATTTGAGTTTTTTGGCATGGCGATCTGCTATGATAATGGTAACCCAGAGGGGCAACTCGCTGGATGGACGGAGTCATTTTAATCTCTGAGTGACAGACCTCTGTGACCTTGTCAGGAGATGTCCTGGGTCTGCATGACTGACGAGACTCCCCACAAGCACAGCACTCAGCAGGGGGCATGCCTCGTCTCTGATGCAGTGGAGATTGGTGGGAAGAGAAAGATGAGACAGAGAGCATGCAGAGCTCACTTCTCAGGCTCCAATACAAGGAGAAATTAAACAGCTTCAAAAAGATGAAGAATAAAGTCAGGTACAGTACACCAGAAATAATGCATGCAGGTAAAGCAACATAATTGAATATTTTTACCAGCCACTTAAAAAATGGAATGCCAAAATGCTTTTACCAACTGACACCACTTCTCACTAGGCACTTCTCTCCATGATAAGCCAGATAACATAAATTTCTTTTTGCTGGGACAAAGTAACCTTGACCTCGCAATATGTCGCAACGTGGCACCTCACGTGTACCTACAAAAAGAACAAACATGGCGGAAGGTGGAGCTCGCTCATTGGAAGAACAGAGCATCCTCTGTTGTTTTGAAATGGTTTGGAGACAAGGGATCAGATGTAAATCAAACAGTCATGATTTGCAAGTTATGTATGAAGCTCGTACAAAGGGTGGAACTGGAAACATTAAATTTGTTCCACCACTTTGAGCAAAAACAGAGAGCAGAGCACAAGAAAAACCAGAAGTCATGTGACGAGAACACGGCAGATGCTTATCTTCCCCTCACCGGTGTCCTATCCATGTCAGATCAGGCTTTAATCTGCTTCTAACAGCATACACAACTTAAATAGGCATGCTCCTTCATACCTACATCACTGAACTACTATATAACCTTTCATTCCTCATAAGCAGTCTTGGGGGACCCCCCCCAAAAAAACATACAGACTGGTGACAAATTAAAAAAAGAAACCTGAATAAATGAGGTCTCTTCCAGGATGATAATGTCCCCATTCATAGGGCCCCAGAGGTCACTGACAGGTTTGAGGAGTATGAAAATGATATGAATCATATGCTATGAACTTCACGGTCTGATCTCAACCCAGCTGAACAGCTATGGGAGATTTTGGACCCATGTGTTAGACAGCATCTCTACCACCACCATTAAAATTCCAGAAGAGGGAACATCTATTGGAAGAACAGTGTTCATCCTTCCAGTAGAGTTCAGAAACACACTGAAGCTGTTCTGGTGGCTCAACACCTTACAGAGAGAATGGAGAAATGGTGCTCACAGAAACGAAGTAAACTTCGGAGATGGTACTTCAGTAAATGTACTTGGTTAGTCTCCACCCCCCACCCCCCAATGTGGCACTGATTACAGAATTGGCCGACACCTGTGCTTGTCCTGCTATGACGAGTCAAAACCAGCTGTGTAAAAGGCCAGTAACTAATTGTAGGGTCTATAAGGAAACGCATAAAGACGTAGAAAACTGCAAACGCATACGAAAACATCCAGCAGCAATTCATGGCTTTCTATTATTACAAAGAACACAACCAAAGCCAAAACAACAGTTCCTAAAGCTATCGACACACGCAGCAAACACTTACAGAAGCTCCGTGAAGTATTTCCGGTTCTCTCCATGAAGAATAAATCCTTCTTTGGGAAACTTTCATGTCCAAAACTGACAGTCCAGAAAGTCCATGCTTGAGACAGACAGTTGATAAATTGAAGGGCAAAATCCTTTAGCTGGCACGACGAGCAGTGAGACAGCGGAAAGGAAAAAAACAGGCAGGTTAAATGGCCCACCTTGTTCAGGTGCGTTACATTACGTCACACCTCCATCTGTCCGGTTCAACCTAAAGCTTTGATTCATTGTTCGTCCTTATAGCTTAGTCAGCAATGTCATGCACATTGCTTCAGTCCATGACAAAAAAAACACAAACATTCAACTCTAAAAAAAGAAGAGAAAATAAAGTTTTTATCATTCAAAGCCACTTTCATTGGCAGTTTAATTTATTTTTAGTGCTATACTGGGACCTGCCATAACTAGTCCAACATCATATGGGCTGAGTGAGCCTACATATGGACTACTGAGGATCATACACTTGATTGTTAGGTGTTTTAGCACATTAGGATTTTATACACAAACAGTATGTCAAATCATTTTCTAACAAACATTTGAAGGTTACAACAGATCACCTGTATTAGAAGCTATTACACTACTCAGAAGGTTTATGGAAAATCATTTTACTGGGTTCTTCATAGGACACAAATTGAATAAAAGAGACTATCAAGGAACAAAATGGTTGGATGAGATTAGTCAAGGAAGACAGTGGGAAGCTATCCCAGTTTACTAAAAATGGCAAGTTTGTTTCTAAGTATGTGGTCCCATCACATCCATTTATTTAAATGCCTGGCACCCGTGTTGATTTGCTGCACCACTTGCAGAGAATTCAGCTGTTGTCTTATGATTTGGATCAGAAGAATAAATTCCTCCACTTCGCTCCACTGAACCACTTATTGATCAGGTAAGGGGCAGTGTGCCTGTGGGATGCTGTATTGATTACCTTTTAGTTCCTGCCACTTGTTGCTTCTATTGTGAGGTCAGATTGTTTCAGTTACAAAATGCAGCTCCCTGCTGCTGAAAAGGATTTGTATTTGTTTAGAGGCTTTAATTCCAAAAGTACAGACAGAAAGGCAGACTGTGCTCTGTAAACCTGTTAATAAAGTACATGAATGTAAAGCAATAGTGGACAACTGTACAAACAGCAAATACAGAGGAGTGTGGAAAGAGGAAGAGACAAAGCTGAATAATTATTTTTGTGTTTGTTTACTTTTTATATGTATGTGCATGTATATTTCTAATTCCTGGAGTAGACCTAATGTGCGTGGGGGTGTGCACACGCTTGTGACTGTCAGTCATTTTCATTGGGTGTAATAATTAGCATATTTTTCATTTGTGAAATAACTGTGCTCCTCAGGCAATTACATCAAATTCCACATTAGTTCACATATGGGAGTATGTTGCCTTGATTTAGAGGGAAACGTGTAGTTTTAAAAGCTGCAGAGCTCTGAGGGGGAGTGACCCCAGTGAGCGTTAATGCAACAGAAACATGATCCGGTGGGAGTGTTAATCATATCAATGAAGCAATATGTCATTTATGTTCAGTAATACTTTAAAATATCAAGGTACTGAATACAAAAGCAAAACACAGTATCTAAGGAGAATATCCAGACTGATTCAAATACATTTTACCAGATTAAGCAAGTTCTGTTGTTGAAGAAGAAAAGGGGCATGGATGGAAAACCTTCACTCTGCTAAACTGTGTGTCATCAGCATACAGAGCCCAGAATGTTAGCTCTGACACTGCATGATCTCTGTGGGATCACTTCATTTGCTTAATGGTGTCCATCATAAAGTAAAAGTACAATAACATTATAGACATATTCTTTTTTATGGTCTGGTTCCCAGTGTTCCAGTAATATCCCAGTAATATTCCCATTTCTCATTGCTTGATTGTTTATAGAGGCCTGAAAAGAAAGAAAAGTCTCCAGTTTTCTACTGGGAAAGAAAGCACGGATTTGAGGGAAAACTGGAAAAAGAATATTTTTGTGTAGCAGAAGCTGGACATTAGTGCACTGGACAGATATGCACATCAGCTGCTGAAGTGAGCAGCACCATAGCTCTTCAGGGGACCGTCCCATCTCCCTTGATGTCTCAGCCTTTAGGTATGACACCCATTTCTTGGATGGCTGTTACTGTGGGGTGCATCAGCAGATACCAAGGGGCTGTATACAGAGGTGCTGTAGACAGGTTTGTGGAGTAGTGTGGGCAAAACCTTGCAGGAGAAAGAAGTCTCCCCTGTCACCGGTGTTCAAAGGTACTGATGTGAAGGAGGTTGAACTACAAATACCTAGAAGCCCAGTACCTCTCATCCTCTTTAGGCCTTTGTGGACAGACACAGGAGCACCTTTAGCAACAGACTGATACCAGCAAGGGGTGGGCACACTTGGATACCACAGAAGATCTTCCCCCCCAGTGGCCATCAGACTGTACTACTCTCTCACTGCTGGGCACTGCTGAGGATTATTATCTTGCACTTTGATCATGTACCTTAGAATCAGTCCACATGCCGTTTAACTCCTATTTCTGCCATTTTAATCATATCTGCTCTCAGCTGTGTGATGTACCTCTTAACTTAATGCATTTCATGTGATTGTTTTCCTTTCATACACCATAATATCTGTGCTTTTAATCTGTACATGTATTTCACAAGCAATGACAACTCATCTGAAATGGGAATATAATTGTTTCATGACTATAAAGTACAAGATGGTAGATGTGCATGAAGAAGGAGAAGCAGGATGACAGTGGCGTCTTTGGGAGTACTATATAATGGCTACTGGGTTTGTTAGACCCCCAGAGGACCCTATAGTATAAGAGAAAGACAGAAAAGGGGGACAATCAAACAAAAACAACAGATATGCAGGGTGGGATGTGTTTGTAGCATGGCCCTGCGCCTGAACCTCATGCAGTTTTTACACCTGTAACATGGATGCACTGTTTTATACAGTATTTTTAGTGCTTACTGTATAATTTAAAATAAAGTAACAGGTACTCTGCAGTTTTATTTCTGCATTGCATCATCAGTGCAATTTGCATATCCTGCTGTTCTACATGAATTTTTGGCTTTTTTTGCTACTGTATTTGTGTTTTATTTTACTATGTACAGTACATGGTACTGTATGTTTCTTTATCTCTTTTTTAATTTACCCCACTAATATCAAACTTACTAATCAGCTACAGTAATCCCTCAGAAAATGCCAAACTAGTAAACCCAAAACAAACTGGATACAGGAAACAGGCAAGTGGCAAGGACACTAACACTGGACAGTGAGCACACCAGAGAAACTGGTGGAACAGAAGCAGACAAGTATACTGTATGTGGTGTATAGACAGCACTAAGAGAGCTAATGAGGTAAGAGGAGACAGCGGTGGCAAGAGTTGGAGTGAGGGCAGAGAGGGAAAATTAAATTCAGCTTATTCAATTCAGTTTTATTTGTATAGCACCAATTCCCAACAATCATCTCTGGGCAGTTTACAGAGAATAGTCTAGACCTTACAATATTATAAGATAAACCCATCAAATCCAGAAAGCACTTCCTTTAATGGAAGAAACCTCCAACAGAGCCAGACTCTTGGTAGGCGGCCTTCTGCCTCGACCAGCTGGGGTCAGTGGATAGAGGAGAGAGAAAAAAAAAGAAAAGCATCAAAACACAACTAACAGCAAACAAATACTGAGCAGGCTGATGTGGTTGGTTGACTGCTCATCAGAAACATATTCAGAAAATGCATATGCACATGTTCTGGGGCTAGTGGCATGGAATGGGATGCTGTCAAAAATTTAGCACAATTGAAATATTATTAAACATTGCAATCACAAAACAACTTGCTGTGCACAAGTAATACATACTGTATTACTATTACTATCTTTATTATTGTCATTTGAACAGATACATTTGAAAATACAGCATTTCTTCCCACCTACAGCAATTCATACTGCATCAACGGGAAATAAAAATGACTGCACTACTTTCTGGACACTTTACAACTTTCATAAGTCAGGGAACAGTAGCTGGCCTGAAATATCTGCGAGATTTCTGTCTCATGGTTTTTAAATTCACAGACATTCATTATGTTTCAATGACACTTTTTCCTCAAGCCTCATTAATTTGAAGCTGTCAGCCATAGAGCAAACTCCCCTAAACCCCCCCACTGCCACCAAGTGTCTCGCTCAAAGCAACTTAACAGTAATAAGAGAATGGAGACAGCTTTCACTTCTTCCCAAGGTGCAGGAGTTTCATCCATCCATTATCTATACCGCTCATTCCTGAACAGGGCTGCGGGAGGCTGGAGTCAGTCCCAGCTGACACTGAACGAGAGGCAGGGCCCACCCTGGACAGATTGCCAGTCTATCACAGGGCTGACATGTGACAACCATGCACACTCACATTCACTCCTAGGGGTAATTTAGAGTCACCAATCAACCTAAGCTGCATGTCTTTAGACTGTGGGAGGAAGCTGGAGTACCCGGAGAGAACCCACGCAGGCACAGGAAGAACATGCAGACTCCACACAGAAAGGCATCAGGTTGGCCCGGGCTCGAACCCTGGAACCTTCTTGCTGTGAGGCGACAGCTAACCACTGCGTCACTGCCCTAGGTGCCGGAAAACAAACACACATCAGAACTGAGGTGAATAAAACATCCCAACAATTTTGTTCTGCCCTCTGCACCTTTTCATCCACTGTAACAGCTTCACAACTACAAGACACATGAGCTGTTTCTTCAT